CAAAATTCGCTATAAAATTAATTTCTTGAAGGATCCTTGTGGAAATATCACCAATTATTAATTAAAGTATCCTCTTTTTAATGCAACAAGCGGTTTTGAATAATTGCTTTTAGTATTTGACATTTTTGAAATGATCAATAATTTTTTCGAATTTTGCAATTTTCGCCGATTAAGTTTTAAAAATTCGTATAAAATCCACTTCTTGGAATATGAGTATGAAAATTTCCAAAAGTGTTAATAAGAGTGTCCTCTTTCCAATGAACCAACCCGTTTTAAAAAATAACTTTTAGTTTTCGAGAAAACAATATTTGAATTTTTAATAAAATTTTCGATGTTGCAATTTTCGTCGATAATTTTCAAAATTCGCTATAAAATTAATTTCTTGAAGGATCCTTGTGGAAATATCGCGAATTATTAATTAAAGTATCCTCTTTTTAGAGTTGCTTCGTTAGTTAAATTAGCATCAAAAAAGTTTATTTTGTATCTTAGATCCAAATAAGTTAACATATCTTATCAGCTTTCTTATTAATTTCATTTTTTTTCAAATATCGCAATAATATGGCAATGTAGGGCATCACTTCAGAAATATACCAGAAATTGTAATCATAATGGCCGGATAGATATGTTGGATATCTGGCCGAAGGGGTGCCGAATATCCGGTATCCGGCTTTTCGCAAAATCACTATCCGTTCCATCACTAGTATAAATCATTTGAAATATGGACAAAGAAATTACCGGACCAATACCAAGCCACAAGAGACAAAAGAAGAAGAGGAGAAGGGTAAGATAAGTTGTTATTGTTGTGAAATGAAGCGGACATATAAGTAAAAATTGTAAATACAAAACGTATAAATGTAAAAAATTTAATAAAGTAGGACATTTAGCAAAAGTTTGTATGAGGCAAACTAACTAGTTAACGAGTTAGAAAATACAAAAATGAACAGATTATTGATTTTATGGAAATGTTTTATGTAAACGATAAATTTGATTATTTCAGATAAAAAGATAAACGAAATAGAGATAAAGGGAGAACAAGCAGACGAGTTGGATGGGTTGCTAAAAAAATTTGAAACATTATTTGCTAACTCATTAGGCCTTTATATATATGAACAACTCGATTTAAAATAAGTACGAAGGCTTTCACGGCCGGTGTGAATTAAACTAAGATTAGAACTAAAACTAGAACTAACACTAGAAACTTGCGGGTTTTGCCGTCTTCAGAAACTGGTTCGAAGTGACCTCTTCGAACCAGTTTCTGAAGAACGTTTCTAAGAACCGGTATTTAGTAAGCCCAGACCGATACCATTCTTACTTAAAGATAAGATAAAGCAAGAGTTGGATGGTTTGGAAAAGCTGGGAGTAATTTCTTTAGTTGATACAGCTGAATGGGGTACACCATTAGTTCCTGTAGTAAAGGAAAATGGAAAATAAGACTGTGTGCAGATCATAAGATAACCGTCAATAAACATCTTGAGGAACTTTATATTGCTTTGCAAGGAGGGGAGTACTTTACAAAGTTAGATTTTTCTAACGCATACAATCAATTAGCAGTAACTGACAATACGCAATTATTGTATGCTTGGAGTACACATAGAGGCATATACAAGCTGAACAGATTGCCATACGATACTCAACCGGCAGCTCCATTTTTCAAAAAATTGTCGAAAGAGTTTTGCAAAACACACAATCAATTTCATGGATGATATTGTAGTGACCGGAAAAGATAGGCTAAAACATACATATTCAGAATTTAGAAAAGGTTTTCGTAAAGTTAGAAAAAGGAGGATTTAGGCTAAATTTAGCAGAATGGAAATTTTTCAAATGAAAATAAAATATTTAGGTCATTTTATATATAAAAATGGACTACATAAGGATCCAGGAAAAAAATAGAGCAATTGTGGATGCACCACATCCGTTAGATCAGACACAGGTGAAAGACACGTTTATTGGTATGATTAATTATTATGACGATATTAGGACCTATATACGAATTATTGAGAAATGATGTTAAATTGGAATGGTCAACCGAATGTGAAAAAGCTTTTCAGATGGGTAAGGAAGTGTATAAACATTTGAATCTAAAATTCCTTTAAAATTGGTTTGTGGCGCATCAAAAGTAGAATTAGGTGCAGTTCTATTGCATGAATATCCAGATGGAACAGAAAAACCAATCAGTTTTGTCTCACGAACATTATCTGAAGCAGAGATGAATTATGCTGTT